CATGAAGGCTCCATTATGCATGGGAGAATATCTAACGATGCATTCCTACAAGCTGAGGTCACATCACAGCCAGAATATCTAGTGAGTGAGCAGAGAGGAATTCTTGGAAGTTAGATATAAGAACATGGAAAAAGCTGGGTACCAGTGGCTCACGCCTGTAATCCTAGCTACTCAGGAGGCTGAGATCTGAGGATTGAGGTTCAAAGCCAGCCCTAGCAGGAATGTCCAAAAAACTCTTGTCTCCAATAAACGCAGAAAACCGGAAGTGGCACTGTGGCTCAAGTGGTAGAGCGCTAGCCTTGAGCTGAAGAGCTCAGGGACAGTGCCCAGGTCCAGAGTTCAAGACCCATGACCGACCAAAAAAAAAATTCTTCCAGAAAATAGATTAAAATGACAAAAATAGGGAAAACAGGAGAGAAGAGTTAAGAATGTCAGAGAACCACTTAATGATACTATGAACCATCCACCTAACAGGAATTCCAGATAGAAAGCAAAGAGAGAGCTCACCTTGAGCTGAAGAGCACAGGGACAGTGCCCAAGCCCAGAGTTCAAGCCCCATGACTGACACCCCCCCCCAAAAAAAAAAGCAAAGAGAGAATCAGGAGAAAAAGGCAGGACCAACATGATTTTGGAGGTTCAAAGCATCCCTTGTGCCCAATCCAGTTCGTAAAGATGGATTCCCAGGAGATGACATGGGAGGACTGAGTAGCAGACATTTATGGAACAAGAATTTCTGCAGACCTCAGAAGCAACTCCTCCAGCTGGGGTGATAGTGCGCATACGACATGGTTCTACAAGGGTTCTGCACCAAGGCTTGGCTTCCAGCTTTAGGAAGTGGGGCCTCGTGATGGTCTGTCCTCAAAGGACATCTTGTCCCTTTCCTCCTCTGTGCTTCCCGGCTGCCAGGGGATAAGCAGCTTCTGCCATGAGCTCCTGCTGCCACTATGCCCTGCCTGTGTCAGGCCTGCAGCAATGCGCCCAGCTGCCCCGGGACCACCCTGCCCTGCCTGTGTCAGGCCTACAGTAATGCGCTCAGCTCCCCCAGGACCACCCTGCCCTGCCTGTGTCAGGCCTACAGTAATGCGCCCAGCTGCCCCAGGACCACCCTGCCCTGCCTGTGTCAGGCCTGCAGCAATGCGCCCAGCTGCCCCAGGACCACCCTGCCCTGCCTGTGTCAGGCCTGCAGCAATGCGCTCAGCTCCCCCAGGACCACCCTGCCCTGCCTGTGTCATGCCTACAGTAATGCGCCCAGCTGCCCCAGGACCACCATGCCCTGCCTGTGTCAGGCCCACAGTAATGCGCCCAGCTGCCCCGGGACCACCATGCCCTGCCTGTTCAGGCCTGCAGCAATGCGCCCAGCTGCCCCGGGACCACCATGCCCTGCCTGTGTCAGGCCTACAGTAATGCACCCAGCTGCCCCGGGACCACCATGCCCTGCCTGTGTCAGGCCTGCAGCAATGCGCCCAGCTGCCCCGGGACCACCCTGCCCTGCCTGTGTCAGGCCTACAGTAATGCGCCCAGCTGCCCCGGGACCACCATGCCCTGCCTGTGTCAGGCCTGCAGCAATGCGCCCAGCTGCCCCGGGACCACCATGCCCTGCCTGTGTCAGGCCCGCAGTAATGTGCCCAGCTGCCCTGGGACCAGCACCTCTGAAAGCACAAGCTAAAACAAATCTTCCTGTAACTAGTTCCTCCAGGTACTTGTCACAGTGACAAGAAACTAATACAAATGGTTTCTGAAAAATTGGTATGTTTTTTTTAAGAAAAATCCAAATTTGGGACTTGAACTCGGTACCTGATGCTTTCACTCATTGGCTACCGCTCTTACTAATTCAAACCCCCTGAATTAATTTTCACTTGATAAATTCCATCTAGGTATCCATATGTGTATCCATGTGTGTTTAATTTCAAGTAATTTTCTTTGAGTCATCTTTTCTTAGCAAGCCGCTAGAGATAGGAACCACCGAAGTGGGGAAAGAGCCATGCAGGCAGAGCTGGAGAGGGCTCTGGGAACAGGTGTCTGTGAGAGCAGTGGCCTCTGGGCCACTCAGGACCTCGGAGCTACTCCTTTTGTTGTTGATTGTGGGGCTTGAACTCAGGGCCTGGGCACGGTCCCTGAGCTCTTTTACTCAAGGCTAGCGCTGTACTACTTTGAGCCACAGCTCCACTTCTGTTTTTTTGAGTGGTTAATTGGAAATGAGAGTCTCACAGGGACTGTTTTGCTTGTTCTGGCTTCAAGCCACAGTCCTCCGATCTCCGCCTCTCATTATCTAGGGATTACAGGTGTGAACCACCAGCACCCAGCTGGAGCTACTTCCTTAAGAGACTAAAGCTCACACTATAACCAAGAGAAAGTAGAGATAATTGGAGTTTGAATTAATGATAAATGCACAGGAAAATGAGGCAGTTAAAAATAATTTCTCATTCTAGGAAGCTGGGTAGAATATTGAGGAAGAAAGGAAGATGGGTTATACTTGGCCTTGTGGATAGAGTTTGTGTTGAAATATTATAGTGTAGACATAGAACATCAATCTAGCCAAAATTACCAGTGCGTCCTATTGGGAGAAAGGACTGAGTGAGGATTAGAAAGCGCAGACACTTTTGCCTCGTGTCCTGTAGGGAAGGTGCAGGCAGAGCTCACTCCTGGGAACTGAGACATCGTGGTGAGAGAACCCAAGGACCACCGACCCGCTGGGAGGCAGCCGTCCTTGGCCGGCAGGATTAGAACGCGGCAGGCATGTAACAAGTCTGAACAGCGTTCGATGTTGAGCTATGTGTACACTCTGTTCTGATAAAGATAAAACTTTAAAAAACCCACTGATCGCAAAGGCAAATAGTAGGGAAGGTATAAAGCAAAGTCTATTAGCTGTTATACTGAGTGCAAGTACTATATTTTACCCCGTGTAAATGGACTATTAAAGAACAGAGCTAATCAATGGGTTGCTTAACATGCATAATTTTTGCTTCAGCTGCTGTTTGCTCTTTCTTCCAGTGAAGCCAAAATCTTTGCAGTGTTCCTGTTAGATAAGATCTAGGGAACTGCTTGTCAAAAGTTCTCTGCTTTTCCTGACTCGGAAACCAAAGTTCTTCCTGCCTGGACACTCTGTCAGTCTTGACCCCAGCAGCGTGAGGGCTGAGCCTGCTGGGCAGCAGCCTCTCCTAACATGACAGTGGAGATGGTGGAGATGGGAAGTTTTGTGCTGTCCTTGGAGCTCATGAATTTCTTTTTGGGTTTAAGTGGAGAGTCAATTTCAGTTGCTTATCACCAGTGAATTCTGATACAGCTTAAACCTATCCTAAGATTCAATGGGTCAAGAAAAAGTATACAGTAGAATTTTAATCAACCATTAAGAAAATGATATTGCATCATTTGCAAAGAAATGAGTTAACCTGGGAAAAAATTATGTTAGGTGAAGTCAAAGACAAAGGACACATCTTTTCTCTTATATGTGGAAGCTAGAACTAATTTATAACTGTACAAGAAAACATACGAACTGTATGCAAGTGCACACAAATATATTAACCGAGATTTGCTGGGGAGAATTCAAATGGTGTAAGTCCTTAGGAAAATGAACTCGCACTCCAACAAAATGAATACCAGGAAACGAGTGTGACAAAAGCAGGGGGGAAAGGCACAGGGCAGCAATGAAAGGAGGGTGAGCACGCTGCACTAGTCAGTGGGCAGCCTGTGAGGGCAAGAAAACTTAGGGGAGGGGCAGGTTAGGGGATACGGGTGAGAAACAGGCAGCATCAATCAGGATGCATTGTACTTATCAAACGATTTTTTGAATGGTAACTAAGTCCTTTGTACAACTGTAATGATTATATTTTGCTAGACAAAAAAAAATAGATTGATCTGGAGAAGGGAAACAAAGCACAAAAAACAAAAACGGAAGTAATTTACCATCATAAGATAGAATGTCAGTTGTAAAGAATTAGATTATTTTTAGCCGTACAACAACAAAGTAAAACTTCAGTAGCTAAATATACATTCATAATGAAAACAGGAACTCTCAAATGCGAAGGAATCCTAAGGAGAGCACATTTGTTTTGGGGGAATTTTAATTCTTCTGTTTCAGACTAACAGAGAAAGCAGGAAAAATAGGAAGATCCTCATGTAGATTGTGGAGAGGATAAGATCTGGCCACTCGCGTTTAGGGAGAAGCCTGGCGAGCTAACATGAAGGTCCAGAAGTTCGCGTTGCCACATGCAATGCAGGGGAAGATTCTGAAAATATCCTTCGAAAGCTATTATGGAAATATACATTATTGTAGTAACTTGAGTTATTACAGTAGATGGTAACATTTTGGGACTATAACCTTTAAGTATGTCTTAAAATTGTAAATGCTCACATCTTGTGACTCAGCAGTTTGAATTTTGAGAATTTGTCTTACAGACATAATAGTATGAAAACGCCGTGGCTCTGCAACCCGTTAATGTTTATCATACCACTTAGAGTGGCAAAAAGTGAGGAAAGCCAGAGTGTTCATAAGCGGAATACTTTGGAGTAACACTATACTGCATGCATCCTGTGAGCATGCTCCAGAGGCACAGGCTGGCTCTGTCGTGGAGGTGCCAGGGCAGGATGGCAAGATGTGCCCTGTTGGACCTCATTTGTAGAAAACACAAACCAAACCCAGCATTGTAGACATGAGGTGTGAAGGTGAAGAGACTGTGGGCTGTTGTCCTGTGAGGAGGGCGGCGTGGAGAAGAGAGCTTTTGTGCTAGGACTCCTTGCTTGTCAGCTTGTGTGATGAAGAAAAGACAGTTAGTCCATCAGTAAGGGTTTTACCAAGGCAAGAAGTTTCATAGAAAATGTGACTTACAGTCAGCAAGAACGTGGTGGTTATAATAGTAAAGATGTGAATGTACTTTTCTGTAAGACTCTCAGCTATCAGATTTTGCAGTGACGTTTCGGATTTTAATTAAATAACTATGCTGTAAAGTACTAGAAGTTCTGTGTTATGCTTCTAATTTTTTTTTTTTTTTTGCTTTGGGTAGGGCTGGCTTCACCAGTGGAATTCAACATAACAGAGCTGAAACAAGAACTTGATAATGTAAAGATTCTGAAGGCAAAATTAGGTACTGTATTTTTGTTCGTGCTTTCTGTATTGTCTTGGTTTGTTATTAAAGAATTTACTGTAGTCTAGAAACTAAAAATTTGTGAAGCTTTTAGTTTATATTAGAAATTTTTGGTCTGGGTAAGGTCTTTGGGGAGAGCATATGTATTCATTCATATTCTTTGTATAAATACAAAACAAAAACTCATCTCCAATGAAGTAGCAAAAATAAATAAAAATAAAAAATATTTTTCCCAAGATGTTAATTCTGGTTAAAATACATAATTCTATTATCTATAAAGTCTATTCTATTTATTCAATTTTATTCTATTTATCTATAAAATCTGTTCTATAGATTTATTTGTAAAGTATAAGGATGCATTTACTGAGCCTGACCTTTTTCGATTTTATTTTTTCCTTATCTCCAATTAACCACCAAAATGCTGGAAGTGGAACTGTGGCTCAAGTGATAGAGTGCTACCCTTGAGCCCCGAAGCCAGTGCCAACATCTAGGCTCTGAGTTCAAGTCCCAGGACCAGCACAAAAAACAAACAAACAAATAAGCAAGCAAAGCAATCCAGGAGCCAGTGGCTCACACAAAACCGAGTTTATTGAGTCCAGGTCATTTCAACCCTAAACTTCAGATCTCAGTTCCTGAATTGCTTTGCTTGCTTGCTTGCTTTCTTGCTTGCTTGCGGACTTGAACTCAGATGCTGGTACTGACTTCTGTGCTCAAGGGTAGCACTCTATCATTTGAGCCACAGCTCCACTTCCAGCATTTTGGTGGTTAATTGGCAATGAGGAAAATGGTACCCTTCTGTATATCACCTTTATAATAACAATAAAAAAATAAAAAAAGGTTAGGCCAGTACATGCATCTTTATACTTTACACCTAAATCTCAAGTAGCTTACCTCTCCTTAAAAAAAAAAAAAAAGTCTCACAGACTTTCTGCGTAGGTTGGCTTTGAACTGAAATCTTCAGATCTCAGCCTCCTGAGTAACTAGGATTACAGGCGTGAGCCACAGGTGCCCAACTAAGCTAGCTTTGCTTTTTTAATTGTTACAGGTTGATTGGTAAGTCTGTTTACTGTTACTATTCCATCTTCAGAAGTGGAAAACGTAATTATGTTTGGGTTTTTTGTTGTTGTTGTGGTTGTGGGGCTGAACAGAGCCTGAGCGCTGACCCTCAGCTCTTTAGCTCAAAGCTAAGCGCTCTACCACTTGAGCCACAGCGCCACTTCCAGCTTTTTCTGCTCATGTGGTGCTGAGGAATCAAACCCAGGGCCTCAGGCATGCAAGGCAAGCACTCTACCACTGAGCCACCTTCCCAGCCCTCCTGAGCTTCTTTTGCTCAAGGCTAACACTCTACCACTTGAGCCACAGCGCTACTTCCAGCTTTTTCTGCTCATGGGGTGCTGAGGAATCGAACCCATGGCCTTATGCATGCAAGGCGAGCAATCTACCACCGAGCCACCTTCCCAGCCCCATGTTTTTAAAACGCATATGTTCAAGTTATTGTCATTTCTGTAAATGACATGTTGCCCAGAGTTGTTTCAGTCCTCCTGCTCTTGATGGATTTCAACAGGGGCTTTGTCTTTTGCTCGTATGAATAATGTTGCTATGAACACTCTGTGTGTATCTCTTCGTAGAGGATTTTTCAGGACGTATATTGGAGATTGAGCTGGAGGATTGCTGCACATGTGCGTGTTCAGCTTTTTAGGCTAACGCCATCCCGTCCTGGTGTTTGTATCGTTTCCAACCCTGCGGGCCCGGAGCAGTGTGTCTCATTGTCCCGTGTCTGTGCTGACACCGGCCGCGCTGGGATTTTAAACGTCTACTGGGTTAGAGAATGGAAAATGACGTTTCACTTGTCTGTTTTTGTTTTTCCTTTTTACACTCTCTTTGGCTTTTCCACTCACATCGGGCACACTTGAGCCACACCTCCCTTTCCAGCGTTGTGCTGATTACCTGGAGACAAGAATCTGGTGCATTTGTCTCCAGGGCTGGCTCTGATCCTGGTCCTCGGGGATTAAAAGTGTCAGCCTCTGGTTCCAGCTCAGTGGTGTTTTGATTGGTTGATTTCTGGTTTGTGTTTCTAGTGCTCATGTAGCCGCTGCTTGAAAAACACTCATGGGGTGGGGTGGGGGTCGTCTTACTTCACTCAAATGTTCATACTAATACTAATTTTTGCCTCTGAAGAAACTTGGTCTTAACAGAGTTTTACTGTGTCTTTTCTGTTCCTCTTCTCACCCTCTTAGCTACTGAGATATGGAAGGGAAAGTAGTCTTAGTGTCAGGTTCATGTCTTATCCTTCCTTCCTTTCTTTCTTTCTTTCTTTCTTTCTTTCTTTCTTTCTTTCTTTCTTTCTTTCTTTCTTTCTTTCTTTCTTTCTTTCTTTCTTTCTTTCTTTCTTTCTTTCTTTCTTTCTTTCTTTCTTTCTTTCTTTCTTTCTTTCTTTCTCTTTTTTGGTCGGTCATGGGGCTTGAACTCAGGGCCAGGGCGCTGTCCCTCAGTTCTTCAGCTCAAGGTAAGCGTTCTACTACTTGAGCCACTGCGCCACTTCTGGTTTTCTGGTGGTTAATTGGAGATAAGAGTCTCATGGACTTTCCTGCCTGGTCTAGCTTTGAACTGCAATCCTCAGATCTCAACCTCCTGAGTAGCTAGGATTACAGGCGTGAGCCACTGGTGTCCGGCTTGTTTTTCTACCTATAGTTAAAATGTCTCAAATTCTGGCTGCCTTCGTAGCCTCAAACCTAGTGTTGATCTCCCTAGCTCTCCAAGTTTGCTGTCTTTTGCACAGGCTTCTGCTTACTCTCTCAGACTCTCCGGTCCATGTGGACCGCACGTTGGCAGGGCCGGCAGGGGGAGGTGGTATACATGGCTGGGCTCTCCTCTCTCCCTATCCCATCAGCTTCTTAAAGGCTGCTGCCTTGGTCACTCTCTGATATATTAATATAGATTGCTTTTTAAAAAGTTTGACTCCACTAGGTGCCCGTGGCTCACACTTGCAATCCTAGCTACTCTGGAGACTGAGATCTGTGAATTGCATTTCAAAGCCAGCCTGGCAGGTAAGTCTGTGAGATCCTTATCTCCAATGAGCCACTAGACAACCAGAAGTGGTGCTGTGGCTCCCTGTGGTAGAGTGCTAGCCTTGAACAGAAGAGCTCAGGGGCAGTGCTCAGGCCCTGAGTTTCAAGCCTACAATCAACAACAGCAACAACAAAAAGTTTAACTCATTTTTTCCCTGTAGCACGGGGTTGGTGTGGTTAGGGCCACCCGTTCTAACTTGCAGCATTTAGAAAACTCATGTTCATCTGTGGGACTTGAGTCTAGAGCAGATTTTTATTCACTCAAATATAGACTCATATAAATAGGTACCTCTACACAAAATGCATTGTATCTATATTTTTGAACAATATGTTAACAATATCTTTCCTGGGAAATGTTTTTTTTTTAAACCAGTGCTGGGCTTGAACTCGAAGCCTCGTGCTCCCTGGGCTGCTTGTCTGCCTGGCACTCTGTCCTTCAGGCCATGCCACCATGCTGGCTTTTGCTGCTTATTTTGGAGGTGGTATCTCAAGGACTTTCCTGCTTGGGCTGGCTTTGAACCAAGATCCTCCAGACCTCAGCCTCTTGTGTAGCTATGATTACAGACGTGAGTTACTGGTGCTGAATTGTTTTTAGGCTGAAATTTGAAGGCTCTTGGGATTGAGCTGATTAATTTAGCAAACTGATTTTAATAGTTTGTGGAAAAAAATATGTTTTTCAAAAGAGAATAATGCACATTGCTTATACCACTATGGGATGAATTTGTGTCTGAAGTTGTGGAAATTGCTGAGATTTTTAATTCTTTTTTTCTTCCACACAGAGAGACGCAAAAAGGCTTCAGCATGGGAAAGAAACCTGGTGTATCCTGCTGTTATGGTTCTCCTCCTCATTGAGACCGTAAGAGCCTACTGCACTGCTTAAATAAAACATGACATTTTATTTACTTTAGCGTTTGAATATAGCAGCTTCCTCATTTAAGTAGCTGCCAGGAAGGTGATTTTTCTGTCCACAGGATTAAAATCCATCTGTCCACATCTGTATTTGTGAAAATTTAGTAGTACAAATTAGAAATGAATGGTAGTTAGAAAAGGTCATCAAGATTAACTATTTCCTGGTGAAGCAGGAACTTCAGCTTGTGTCTTATTGAAAATTAAAACAAAGAACCAGTGGAAAGATAATAAATTATACTATTCAATAAGTTCTGACACTATTACACCTTTGAAGTCTGTGGAGTTGTGAGGTTCCAGTTGGTGAGGCCACTTAGTAAATGAATCTGTTTTACTATCTTTTAAAATAATAATAGTAATAATAATAATAGTAATTTTTTTTTGGTCCATTGTAGGGCCTGAACTCTGGGCCTGGGCACTGTCCCTCAGCTCTTCAGCTCAAGGCTAGTGCTCTACCACTTGAGCCACAGCACCACTTCGGCTTTTTCTGCTTATGTGGTGCTGAGGAACCGAACCCAGGGCCTCATACATGCAAGGCAAGCGCTCTACCACTGAATCACCTTCCCAGCCCAATAATAGTAATTTGCATGCCAGGCACTGGTGGCTCATGTCTATGATCCTACTACTCGGGAGGCTGAGAGCTAAGGATTGCAGTTTAGAGCCAGCCTAGGCAGCAAGGTCTGTGGGACTCCAATCTCCAATTGATCACCAAAAATGCTGCAAGTGGAGCTATGACTCAAGTGGTAGAGTGATATTCTTGAGCACAGAAGCTCAGGGACAGCAGCCAGGCCATGAGTTCAAGCCCCAGGATGGGCAAAAGCACGCAGAATAATAATAATCTGCAAAGTCTTTGAGTTTATTCTAGGATTTTGTATATAGGGACTTGGTTGTATATGTAGAATTTTGATCTTGTCTACCTTTCCTGTATTTTGAAACATACATTTGGTTACTTATGCTGAAGTAATACTTGTATACTGGCAGAACTACTTGGACACTAAGAGCTGACAGCTTACTTTTGTATTGCAGTCCATCTCGGTCCTCCTGGTGGCTTGCAACATTCTCTGCCTGTTGGTTGATGAAACGGCAATGCCAAAGGGAGCGAGGGTAAAGTAAATGCTTTTAATGACCTTTGTTTGCAGATGTCTGTGTCCCCATAGATGGTGAACGTTTCAAGTAAGTGAAGACATTCACCTCTCTGCATGTGAATGTCCTTCTATGAAGAGATTTCACCTTACCTATGAACTACGTTTTTGTTTCTATTCTTTTCTTTTGGTTTATCTATATGGCAGAGTGTATTTTGATTTTACTGAAATTTGTCTAATTCTTTTGTTGTTGTTGGTTGTGGGGCTTGAACTCGGCCTGGACACTGTACCTGAGCCTCTTTGTGCTCAAGGCTAGCACTCTACCACTTGAGCCACAGCACCACTTCCAGTTTTTGATGGCTACTTGGAGATAAGAGTCTCACAGGGACTTTTCTGCCTGGGCTGGCTTTGAACTGTGATCCTTAGATCTTAACCTCCTGAGTAGCTAGGATTACAGGCGTGAGCCACTGACGCCTGTCTTTGTAATTTTTTGTTGTTGTTACTGTTGTTTTTGTTGGTCGTGGGGCTTAAACTCTGGGCCTGGGCACTGACCCTGAGCTCTTCAGCTCAAGGCGAGCGCTCTACCACTTGAGCCACAGCGCCACTTCCTGTCATTCTTTAAGAACAATCAAGCTAACATAGAGTCCATGAAGAGCACAATAGGAAGACGGTGGGTGTGTGAGTGATCATGTTGTAGCTGTAGGTTTTACGATCTATGCAGGGCGGTCAGATGAACTTCTGTCTTGTTTAAGAATTTATTCAATTCTTTCAGTGAGCCTCTTGGATTTCACTGTCCCTTTGTGTTTGGCGTACTTGGTGTGTTTTTGAGACGAGTTCTGTCTCTGTAGCCCGTGCTAGCCTCAGTCCTGTTCTTCTGCCTTAGCTTTCCAAGTGCTGGGAGTATGGGTGTACTCGGCTTGGCACACATTTCTAGATGTCTCTGGTAAGTTTTGGTGTTTGAATTTTGACATTTAATGATATTTTTCTTTTTTTTTTTTTTTTGTCAGTTGTGGGGCTTGAACTCTGGGCCTGGGCGCTGCCCCTGTGTTCTTCAGCTCAAGGCTAGTGCTCTACCACTTGAGCCATAGCTCCACTTCTGGTTTTCTGGTGGTTTATTGGAGCTAAGAGTCTCACAGACTTTCCTTCCTGGGCTGGCTTTGAACCGCAATCCTCAGATCTCAGCCTCCTGAGTAGCTAGGATTACAGGCGTGAGCCACCAGCGCCCGACTTGAATGATATTTTTCTAAGTCAGCAGCTTTACCATCCCACTTAGGGATGACTTTAAATGGAAGACTTAATCACTTGTCTCTGAGAGTCAGACAATGTGTCTTTCTCTGTCACCATTCTTCTTAGTGCACAGCAGAGTAACTTGTACAGTGAGGGATGTTCTATGCGTCTGTAAATTGATAGATCATCTTTGCTATGGGCTTCCCTTGGGACAGAATACTCCAGAATATTTTCTATTCTGGCCAATATGCATTTGTAGGGAAGAAAAAGTGTCTTTTTCTTATTGTATAGAAAGTTCACAATAGGAACATGTCTATTAAAAGGCAGATTAAAAATAGACAAATTTATTTAAGTGCTATAACTCCTCAGAAATGAAACCCTAAAGAACTAGGCCCGTGTGTGTGTGTGTGTGTGTGCGTGTGAGTGTGTGTCTGTCTGTGTGTGTGTGCGTGTGTGCGTGCGTGCGTGTGCGCGTGTGCATGCGTGCGTGTGTGTGTGTGTGTGTGCGTGCGTGCGTGCGTGTGTGTGCGTGTTAGTGGTGGACTGCGCAGGCTGTGGTGGTGAGACCTGTGCGCTGGTGTCCTGCAGGGAAGTGCCCCTCCCTCAGCCAGCCGCGTGCACCTCCGTGAATCTCCTGGCCTCCTTGCTTGAGGGCAGCCTTGCTAGGCGTCTCCAACGCTGAGGTGCCAGCTTTCGGGCTGTCTGTCCTGAATTCGACCACTTTCCGTAGCATCATTCATTTCTTCTCTGATAAACTCTTTGCCCTTATTTTCTTCGTATATGGAATTTCCCTGGCTGTTCTTATTTTTTATGTTAAAATGCATATAGTGTATATGATATTATTTATTGATGTATTTCTTATTAGGAAAACTATACATTTATCTCTTGTTTATCATTTATGCTGAATAATGGAATAGTCATTCATATTCAGAGAATTCTTTCAATCATTCATGATGAGTAGGCTTTGAAATGTTGTTCCAACTTTATTTATTTATTTACTTATTTATTTTTTGGGTCCGTCGTGGGGCCTGAACTCTGGGCCTGGGCACTGTCTCTCAGCTCTTCAGCTCAAGGCTAGCGCTCTACCACTTGAGCCACAGCGCCACTTCCGGCTTTTTTCTTTTTGCTTATGTGGTGTTGAGGAATGGAACCAAGGGCCTCAGGCATGCAAGGCAAGCGCTCTGCCACTGAGCCACCTTCCCAGCCCTGTTGTTCCAACTTTAGTTGAGAATATTTTGCCTGTTCTTATTTTATAAATAATATCTTTTGTGTTTTCTTTTAAAAAAGTTAGGTAAAGATAGCTTTTGAGATTGGTGTATGTAGGAAAAGTTTATGCTTTTACTTTTTAAAAGTGTGTTAGTAGTTCCATCTTTTGTGAGTTCTGAGAAAGACTAGGGAAAAGGGAAGGGAATACGCAGTTCCTGTGTTTCTAAGCACGGCTCACATTGAGCATTGTCATTTTTTGCATGTTGCCTTAACTTTCAGACAGCCATCTGTTCTGTTTCTTTTCTACTTGTCTACTTAAAAAAAAAATCTCCCCAAAATATTAAGTGTTTTTCTCAAGTAACTAATTATTCTATATTTTGTAACATAGGCATAATTCCATGATGTTGACCAGAAAGGTAGAATCACATTTGGGGTCAGCAAATCTTTTGAGCTTGCTGACATTGCTGATGAATGTGGTGGTGGGTGAGTTGGTTGGGGAAGCCAGCCCGCCATCGTGCTTTCTCAGCCTTGGAGAGGTGTTACAGATAGAGATATTCCACATTCCTCATTTATGAAACAGCAACTTTAGGAAAACGAACCATGGTGTCACTGGATTCTGAGAAGTGTCCTTTTCCCCTGCAGGGTCCTGGAATAGGAAATGCCTCTCTCTCCACTTTTGGTTTTGTGGGAGCCGCACTTGAAATCATTTTGATTTTGTATCCTTGCCTTACATGAACGTTCTGTCTGTTAGCAAGCTCTCTGCCTGGCTTCTGGGACTGTGCTAATGTACCAAGATACTTGTCTAGGAGGAAAAGCAAGTCAGTCCTCATGAAGCAACAAAGCCGCCTTTGGTTTGGTTTTGTTTTGCCTGTGGCCTGAAGACTTGGAGAGGCTCTGAGGCCTTGGGAGGCCCGCCCTTCTCCAGGGTTTTCCTTGATTCTCGCAGCTATCTCCTGGTGTCTTCTGTCGTTGGTTTCTATAGCCTCCGATTTTTTGAAAACTTTACACCCAAGAAGGATGACACAACTATGACAAAGGTGAGCCCTTAGCCGTTCTTCTGCCTTCTAAGATGAATGTCGTGTTTTACTCGTTGTCACGCTGTGTGGCTCATCTGCAACGACAGGTATTTGTAAGTTGCGTAAACACAAACTGGAATCAGTGGGAAAGGATGTGCTCTGTTTAATTTGGGCAGCATCCATTCACTTGTAAATGCACAGAACTACAGAGCTCACTAAGTAGCTGTGGAAGACTCCTGAAAGGCCCCTTCTCAGCGAGGGAAAGCCCACTGCTAATGAGTAACTCATTGTGCTGACTGTGCTTCAGATGGCTTTGACACCTGAAGAACTTGGTTGCTACTACTCGTAGAGACAACGTATTTTAAATTTGAATAATTAAAGTAAGACGGAAGAGTCCTGTCCAGAAACATTTTGTAGTCTGAGGCTAATTTGACTTTCTACAATGTCATTGGCTTCAGAATAATAGAGGCTGTTATTTTATATAATGACTGAATCTTGGTAAAATATTCCCACAGTCTGATAGAGAAGAGGCTGGTAAGAGCTACTAGCTTGTTTTCTCTTCATTATGTGCTCTATATTTTTAAGCCTAGCTAAAGGAGAGCAGTTGGTTACATACACTCATCTATCTATCTATCTATCTATCTATATTTATATTTATGCTCATACATATGTAATAATGTGACTTATTTAAAGTGAGTAAGAGGTTGTGGTATCCATTGTTTAGTTTAAGTGATGGCAGTATTGATCAGTATTTTCAGCTGCTCTTATTTAATATGAAAGAACAAGTGTGGATTTCTAGAGTTTAGGTGTGGAATTTGATGTTTTTAAAACTATCTTAGTAGGTAAGCACAAAGTAGGTACTATATAAGTGAACTTAAACTGCAATTTGGCTTCAAATACAGCAAAAATACTAAATGTATCTGTTTTACTTGACAGGCAGAACTTTTTGACATTGTTAGCCACAAAATGCACGTAAAGTAATTTCAGTGTTCTCCAACTTTATATTTGTGTCAACTACTGCAATATCACAGATAACTTTAAAATACTTGTAGGAAAAGCTGATTATTCTTTAAAATGTTAAATGTCCTGGAGAAGAACAAGCACTAGGTAGCCGGAGTTAGTGGAATGGTCATGACTGCCTAACTGCCCGCGTGCTTCTGCCTCCGCAGATCATCGGGAACTGCGTGTCGGTCCTGATCTTGAGCTCTGCTTTGCCAGTGATGTCCAGAACACTGGGTAAGTCTGCAAACTGTTCATTTAAAATGCTCGCCTTTAAATATATGCTTGCTAACTCTTCTACTGTACTTTTTAGGCCTCTTTAAAATGTGTGCTGTACCCCACATCATTCTCTACATTCTGTTCAGTACTTCAGTTAGGTATGGGGCCTTCCCAGACAAGTGCTTTTATCACATAAAGACCATTGATTCTTTACACTTAACACATTCCTTCCAACAATAGACCACTTCCCGGCACATTCACAGGTCAGGCTTTTGAATCTTCTAGTGAGGAAACTGGCTTCAGAACAACGGTCTAGAAAGGGTCGTCTTTCTTATATGAAACACCCTTGTGAGTGTGTAGTTTCGTGTGTGCTTTAAAATGCCGGAATTCGTAAGCTCGTTCAAGCTGCTCTGTGTCCAGGAGAAGAGTTGCAAGCTGTGTGGCATAGCCCTAGGACACAGCCGACCCGGACAGCGTGGTTCTGTGGAGTCCGCCAGCCTTCACCGCCAGCGCGCGGAGGCCTGTGGGCATCTATTGAAAGCAAAACAGGTTTTCACTGAAGTAACCGAGAAGATCTTCACGTGGGTTCTTTATCAGTACGAAGTGCTGTCCTTGTCTGTATATTTAGTTATTGTCAGAACCTTACTTCAAATAACCATTTCCACTAAGCAGTTCTCTGTCTATTGACTTAGATTTTAAATAATCAGTGATTAGAAAAGTGATGATAAAAGTTCTACCTGTAAACCCCAGCACCTTGCTTGCCATGGTAGGGCTGTGGAGCTGGTCCTGCCATTGGCTTTATACTTAGCTTCACAATTCAATAGAGAAGTTAATGTTTTAATAGAAAGTGGAATAAAGTGCAATAGAGAAAGAGACCACTCTTCCCCAGGCTGATGCAAAACCCATTTGTTTGTTGGTCTTATTTCTTTTTTGTTTGCTTTAGAGGACTTGTTACTGTTTTAACATCTACTTATTGTATGCTAATCTTGAAAATGACACAAACAGGCATGTTAATAACTTGGCTTAAAGCTAAATGTTACCCATCAGATAATTCAGTGAGGTGGTAGCTCCTCTACCACGCCAGCCCTGACGGTTAACTGACTGTGCTTTGTTGTTGAAGACTGATTGCTCATCACTAATATATACTGGTTTTATGGGGAAAATTACATGCTGAGCATAGATTTAATACAAAGAAAACAAATTAATGGCAAAATGTACTTTTTGAAGACTGACAAACTAAATTCCTGAGTAGCTTGCCATAGAGATAAATAAAAAGAGGAAGAAGAAAAAAAGAAAGATGGAACAATTAAAATGCAGCTAACAAATGCCTGGGCCCAGCTGTCCAAACAGGATTAATGGGGTGCATTAGGGTACAGTGAGTCATGTGGTGCCCGCAGAACCTGCCGTGCCTGGTGGCGCTGAATAGATGAAAAGAGATAAATGCGCTGCACAGATTCATGGCGGCTCTTCACGGCCAGGGAAGCACAGTGCTAGACGGGAAGACAAAGCTTTATGTGAGCATTATGGGAAATGCAAACTAGAAAGTTACTTTGTAATTCCTCTATTAACCCTTTAGAATTGAGTCTTTGATTTTAAGAAGGTAAAGTGTAGAGAATTGTCCTGAACATTATCCTGCGTATAGTAGGATTTCGATTTCTAGCTGAAAAGCTGTGAGACTAGAATAGAGGATGTGTTTAGCCACCAAATTGCTGGCTGTGGAATTCTTCACTCTCTCTCCGTGCCTCTCACAAGGAAGTGGGCCTCGGCATGGGAGCGCAGCACCGTAGCTGCGTGCGGGGAGAGGGGACAATGCCCTTGCAGAGGCAGCTTGATTTTTATTCCAGGAGTGTTTAGTGAAGATGAGAGTTCTAGCCTAATTTAAAATATAACATCTAGGATAAGATAATTAATTCGCTGATATTTTTGCTTTAAAAATGGAAGTGTTCTATGGCTTTTTTTTTCTTTTTAAAATTTGCCAACCGCTATTGATGTATCCCAGGTCTCAGGAGCTGTGGCTTTGGGTTAAGTGTATGCTGTAATAGCACACATTAATTGAAGAATTCCTATTTTAAATATCCTGCTACATTTGAATGTGGAAAATTCTGTATTAACTGAAACATGATCCCAAAATTAATAAGCATTTCACTTACTACAAGGAAATGAGTTGTAAGGAAAATTATGACCAGGTATTTTAGTCAACTATAATGAATGTAGATAGTAGCTTTATTGCACATAGACAATACAAAGAACTGATATTTAAAATGATGTGTTAGAACCCTTTAAGGACCTTTAAAAGAAATACTATCTGTTTTCTGCTCCAAAATGTCATTTTGCTTGAATATTCAGACTTCAGTTTTTAAAAATCTAACCTTTAGAAAGATTGGATGTCCACATTTTTGGTAAGCACTTTAGTAATAGAACAAGGCCCACATATTTATCTGTATCTTCCAGACTTTTTGTGATGAAATGTTTTAAATGATGAAGAATAGATTTGATGTTGTTGCTAGCATGCTCTTCATTATGCTTCATGAAGAAAACAAATGAGAGTTTGGCATTTTTTCCTTATTCTTCATGTGAAATCTCCTTAACCGGGGGGGGGGGGGGGGGGGGGAGGAGGGGGATTTTTCTTCATATGAAAAGTTTTGAAACGGTTTTGCTAATTTCTGTTTAAAAATTACTTTTAGAGCTAATTTTTTTTAATTCTGGAAGTTCTTTCTGAAGCTTATAAGCTACACAAGGCCCAAATTTAGATTTGAAAAATGTGTTTATTGTGTTAAAACCAAAATGCCGCTTCAAATCAGCGTTAGTAACCCCAGCTCCTGCCGCTCGCCGAGGCAGGGGGCGCTCTGAGCAACGGGCCTCTTCTTGAAGAGGCCTTTCTTTCTTGAAGAGGCCTTTCCTTCTTGAAGAGGCCTTTCCTTCTTGAAGAGGCCTTTCCTTCTTGAGGAGGCCTTTCCTTCTTGAGGAGGCCTTTCCTTCTTGAGGAGGCCTTTCCTTCTTGAGGAGGCCTTTCCTTCTTGAGGAGGCCTTTCCTTCTTGAGGAGGCCTTTCCTTCTTGAGGAGGCCTTTCCTTCTTGAGGAGGCCTTTCCTTCTTGAGGAGGCCTTTCCTTCTTGAGGAGGCCTTTCCTTCTTGAGGAGGCCTTTCCTTCTTGAGGAGGCCTTTCCTTCTTGAGGAGGCCTTTCCTTCTTGAGGAGGCCTTTCCTTCTTGAGGAGGCCTTTCCTTCTTGAGGAGGCCTTTCCTTCTTGAGGAGGCCTTTCCTTCTTGAGGAGGCCTTTCCTTCTTGAAGAGACCTTTCCTTCGGGGTTCGCGAACACGGCTGCTCTTGCCTTTTCACACTTCTTGCTGAAAAAATGCTATTTTCACAACTCCTGACACACGGGCAGATGTGCAGAAGTATAAGCCATATTGCCGACTGTGATGCTCATATAAAAGAAATGAAAAAACCTGTATTGAAAGTTTCCCAGCAAAAATTGTGTTTAATTTTTTATAGTCACATATATTACAGAAAATAATAAATGGGTGGTTTTAAGCAATTTTGGACTCATTATTGATGTTCTTAAATCCGAACAATAAACCTGCATATAGGATTTTCAGGAGTGAGGATTTCTTGAAAGTCTGTGCTGCAGATGTCCGAGCAGTGGCGGCTGGACCCCACCCCTGGGCGCCGGCACGTTCCTGCTCCTCCTCGTGTGTCAGGGAGATGAGGCCTGAGAGGAAATGTTCCGTGAACCCACATTTAGTCATCTGTGAATGGACGTCCCTCAAATCATAAAATAAGTTTCTTGTGAAAATGACTCTAGTTAGGACTATTTAGCCAGAAGGAAACTTAAGAGAGCACGAAAAGCACTGAGCAGGTTCTGTGCGGTGAGCCTTCCTTCCTCACAGACACGTGGGAGCAGGGATGGGGGGGTCGTGGTTCCGGCCACAACGTTCCCACTGCCGTGGTCATGCGCCGTCTTAGCTTATACTTACCTCGGAAGGTCTTTATTTCTCCATTGGTTTTCAGTTACCTTACTGGATATGGTCATTTCAGTGTGTTTTCTTTTTCGTTTTCTATGATTGTCACTGTAATAAAGGTGATGCCAGGGGGAGTGTGGTCACATAAGTTGGTCACATTTCGTGTTGGACGGTGTCACCCCTTCTCTCGTTCTTGCCCACGTCCACCCTCAAGTCATAGAGATGGTTCTCGGCACAGTGTCTAGTGAGTCCTGCTGCTGCATTTGTTCACCCTCTGTCCCTCCATTTCTATGTGGTGTTATTTTCTTTTTGAGGAGAAATAAAAATATTCCATGCTTTCCTGGCTTTTAGCACTTCTGCCGAGAGGTTTGTGGGAGTAAGTTGGCATCTTTTCTCTTACAGATCAACTGTATTTCTTGGTTCTTTAGTCTTGCCTCTTTTTTTATTACTATGTGCTATAAAGCAGATCGTTTCTGGTCGTGTTTGTTTGGGGTTCTAAATGTCTCTTATTCTTAGAGGTACATTTATTTCCAAGATTTTGGGAAATTTTCTACTGTAACTTTATTGAATGGATTTTCTCTGTCTTCAGTCTTAACTGTGTTGTAGAGTTTTTTTTTAATTTTAATTTTTATTGTGAAAATACTGTAGAGGGGTTACAATTACAGGGCAAGATAATGAGTACACTTCTTATCAAGCATTGTAGCCTCCTTTGTTTCCCCTTCCCATCCCTTCCCATCCTCTCCCCATCGTTTTTCCCCATAGCGACTTGTACATCTCATTGTTGCAATGGATCCACCTGTATCCCTATTTAAACGTTTTGTTTTTTTCCCTTCCCCTCCACAAATTACACCAACCTCAAATACAGTGAAAGCAGGGGTTATACCGTGGGGGAAGGACATACAAAGCAACAAAGAAATAATCTTATAAATGTGTTAGAAACAATCACCTGAAAGAAAAAAAAAACATTTGAATACATATCTTAGGGTTCATTTCCCTAACATCAACTTATCTGACCTTTTCTGCTTGACTCAGACATATACTAGATATTGCAAATGAGGGAAACCATGGGTGCTGTAGAGTTCTTTAAGGGTTTTGTTTTTCTTTATTGCTAAGGGTAACATTTTCTCATCCTTGTCTTCGTTCCTTAATATTCTTTCTTCTCATTGGTGTGGGCTACTGGTGGTATTTTCTCAGCTGTACCTTTTGATTTCTTGAGCTTTTTTGGTTCCCAGCGTCTGCAGCTATTTTATTTCCTCCAGAATCTCAGTTTCCTTGCAGCACCCGTCATGCGTGTGGCCTCTCTTTTGGTCTGTATCTTGGGTTGATTTACTTCCTTCCTTCAGCTGTTCGTTTATAAAAGTAAACCTCTGAATTCCTTGTCTGCAATCTCAGTGATTTCAGTGTCTTTGGGTTCTTTTACTGCAGAGTTTGAAGCTTTTAGGTGAGCCATGCTCAAGTGGTGGAGCAAAAGAAGCTCAGGGACAGTGTCCAGGCCCTGAGTTCAAGCCCCAGGCCTGGCCAAAGTGGCTTGCTCTCCACTGGCTTCGTGGAGATTCACGATGGTCACGCTCCACTAAGTCCTAGCTCACTCTCGGCTGGACTCACGTACAGCCAGGCTGCTGTGGTGCCTGTCAGCTCCCGGCTCGGCTCTCCCCTGGGCTGCTGACAGATGGGACGCAGGGCCTGAGAAGGTGGTGTCAAGCAGTGGTTATTCTCACCCATGTGGTTCCGCCGCCTCCAGTCACACCGCTCCCTGCCCTTTCCTCCTGCCCAGCACGCCGCTCTGCGCTCCAGGAGCTCCTGTCCAGTCCCGGGGTGTCTGTCCCGTCTGGTTCCATGCTCCACACAGAGTCTCAGGCTGGTGGTGTGTGTCATCATGGGAGGGAAGCTTCTGGGGTGTGGAGGGTGAAGCATCTGCTCACCCTCCAGTAAAGAGGGCGTGCAGAGCTTAGGGATACCCGAACCCACATACTAATCACACAGTTAAGTGTGCAGACACACAGTACGTGCATCACACTCACACACATGCACGCACGCATGCACACACACACACACTAATCACAGACTGTTAAATGTGCAGACACAGTACATGCATCACACCCACACATGCTCACGCACACACACACACGCAAACTCACATACTAATCAGTTAAATGTGCAGACACACAGTACGTGCGCGCACACACACACACACACACACACCCGAACGCATATACTAATCAGTTAAATGTGCAGACACACAGTATGCGCACACACACACACACACACACACGAACTCACATACTAATCAGTTAAATGTGCAGACACACAGTATGCGCACGCACGCACGCGCACACACACACACACACACGAACTCACATACTAATCAGTTAAATGTGCAGACACACAGTATGCGCACGCACGCACGCGCACACACACACACACACACGAACTCACATACTAATCAGTTAAATGTGCAGACACACAGTACGCGCACGCACGCACGCACACACACACACACACACCCGAACTCACATACTAATCAGTTAAATGTGCAGACACACAGTACGCGCATGCACACACACACACCCGAACTCACATACTAATCACACTGTTAAATGTGCACACAGTTCGTGCATCACATACACACGCACGCGTGTACACACACACTCACATACTAATCACACACTTAAATGTGCAGACACACAGTATGTGCATCACACTCTCACACACACACACGTCCACACTTTGTCCTCACCCGCAGTGTCTGGGAGCCATGGCGCTGCAGGTCGGATGCTGTCCTGGCTTCCCAGCCCTGTGCTGGTGAGCCCCACCAGCTGCATGGAATGCGTGTGCACATTTGTCTGTTTCTTGGTAAGGTGACCACAAATCTCAGCAGATTCTCAAAGGATCTTTGTCCTTAAAGATCAAACAAACTGCCTGTCTGGGGTCTCTGGGATGAAACTTTGGAGACTGTTGTATTCTATTTATTTCTTTCCCCTGCCCTGGGACTTGAACTCAGGGCCTGGGTGCTATCCCTGAGATCTTTTGCTCAAGGCCAGCACTCTACCCCTTGAGCCACAGCACCGCTTCCGGTTTTTTTCTTTCTGCTTATGTGGTGCTGAGGAATCAAACCCAGGGCCTCATGCATGCAAGGCAAGCACTCTACCACTGAGCCACCTTCTCAGCTCCACGGAGCCTGTTTTAATAGGACTGTATCAAGTTTATTAGACTCATATGATTTTTAAAATGCTGCTGTATTTGAAAAATAAGGCATCTCATGAGTCTTCCATCTGAGAACCTGCAGCCATGGTGACCGAGTGCCAAGTGCTCTGGGGTCTTCTGCCATCCAGCCTTGCATCTTTTTGGGTTTTATTGCGAATTCATACTCAGATACATTGCATATTCTTTATTTTGTCAGTTGTAGGGCTTGAACTCAGGGCTTGGGCACCGTCCCTGAGCTTTATGTTCAAGGCTAGTGCTTTACCACTTTGAGTCACAGCACCATGTCTGATTTTCTGGTGCCTCACTGGAGACAAGACTTTCCAGAACGTTCCTGCCCAGGCTGGCTTTGAACCGCAATCCTCAGATCTCAGCCTCCTGAGTAGCCAGGATGACAGGCGGGAGCCACCGCTGCCACGCTTGCTTCACCTTTTTGAGAGTTGTTTCATTCCATCTTTTCACTGCTCGTATGCAGACATCTTGGTGTTGTCCTTCAAATGCCGCGTTGCAACCTTGTTCTTACATCAGTGTCACGTGGGCGCTTGCCCGCCCTCCGTCTGCACGGCTGCCTGCGAGGCTCTCTCCATAGGAGATGGCGGTGAAGGACTGAGAGTCACGTTCAGAAGCTAGTCGACGATGGGAGGTGGGTCCGAGAGGCCCTTCCGTCACCCGAGAGCCCTTTGTCACTGTCATGAGGCACATAATTGGGTTCTCACAACCTCCTGGAAGTCTAGTATTATAACGATTGTAGCTTTTTTTTTTCTTGAACTCAGGGCCTGGGTGCTATCCATGAGCTTTTTTGCTCAAGGCTAGTGCTCTACCACTTGAGCCACAGCTCTCGTTCCCACGGACTTTCCTGCCTGGGCTGGCTTTGAACCATAATCCTCAGATGTTAGCCTCTTGAGTAGCTAGGATGACAAGCATGAGCCACTGGAACCTGGCTTTAAATGGTTTTTAAAAGCAAAAAATAAAATAAAAACTTAAAAATATGTGTGGGTGAATTTGCGTCCCTTGCGTATGTGGAGTGTCTGCCGTTGCACACCATGTCATTCAGTGCAGGTTAACACAGTTTTATTTTTTAATTGCCTTAAGTCTTATGGCCACATAATTTACAAATTATTGTCCATTCCAGTCAGCATTTTCATTTCTTCTTCCCTCTCCCATCCCCACCCACAGACACGAGCATTTTTAATTCGCTCTTTTGTTGCCACCACATTGAAAGCACCTGCTCAGAAACTAGCTGCCCCAGTCTCGTTGTAAACTCCGTTTTGTGTGCAAGGACATGATCCTACCTATTCATTCTTGTAGTAACTATTAAGAACGTCCACCGTGTTTCTGTTCCTAGAGAATGAGAGGGAAAAAGGCAATAAGTAAACCCAACAGGCATGGGGGGAGGCGGGGGGAGGCGGGGCCGATGCTGTGCTGTGGCCCGAGCTGGGGCGGAGGGGCCGATGCTGTGCTGGGCCCGAGCTGGGGCGCAGGGGCCGATGCTGTGCTGTGGCCCGAGCTGGGGCGGAGGGGCTGATGCTGTGCTGGGCCTGAGCTGGGGCGCAGGGGCTTTGGGAAGAGGCAGCCCTCACCCTCAAGGACCGCGCAGCTGTTCGGCAGAGCCCCGCCCTCCCGTGAGCAGCCCAGGCCTGGCCATGGGACTGGGCCGGTACCAGAGCTGGTTCCCTCCCTTGCCACCAGCCTCTTGCCCGGCATGACAAGTGACTGCCCCCGTGTGCAGTCACTGGCCTGAGGCCAGTTGTTCCTCCATTTGCTCCCGCAGCATCTCACATACAGCCGAGAAAGCCCTCGGAGTCGGGTCCCACCCTTGCTATATTTCGTCGCAGATGTGAATATGTGAAAATGCCGGATGTTATTCAGGCTCTTTTGTTTATTTTTCACAGGAATCACTAGATTTGATCTACTTGGAGACTTTGGAAGGTTTAATTGGCTGGGAAATTTCTATATCGTATTATCCTACAATTTACTCTTTGCCATTGTTACAACATTGTGCTTGGTCAGAAAATTCACCTCTGCTGTGCGAGAAGAACTCTTCAAGGCCCTAGGTAACCATGGTTTATGTTGGTTTCCTTGTCTACTAATGGGTGATTTTGACGTGTAAGTTAACTGGACGTTGATTCGTTTCTCAGCATTGACAGCGCTGGGCACCAGTGTCGGCTGGGATGTGTGCAGCCCGGGCCCTCTCTGAGTGGCGCTGATGGCCTCTCCCTGGGCACTCGTGCAGCCCTGGGTGGTGTGGGTCGGCTGGGGCCTGCCCGGGCCTTGTTCTTGTGAGGAGAGGCGGGAGACGGACGCCTCGGAAGGCTTGCTCTTTTGATTTGTTTTGTTTTCAGTGGTGCCTTTTCCTACGTTTTAGTTTAAGTTTTTTGGTTTTGAGGTTTGGCGCAAAAACAAGTGTCCAGGTGACTGACACTTCTCTTCAAGAAGCCAAATAATTCAGGACGAAAATGTTAGCATGCTTGGCATCGTCAGGAAAGAGGAGACGCATTGTCACGTTCCCTGATTCACGTGCATTGGGAGAATATGACAGGCTGTTTTTCATGTTTATTTCCACATTAACTGCTCAAAGTTTCCACCTTCCACACTGTACACTGTCTTGAGCTTTAGGTATGAAATTTTATGACAGGGTTGGGAAGGTGGCCCAAGTGGTAGAGCGCTAGCTTTGAGCTGGAGCTGAGGGACAGCGCCCAGGCCCAGAGTTCAGGCCCCACAACCAGACCCAAAAAAACAAAAACAAAAAAAAAACAAAAAAATTATGAAAAGAAGGAAAAGGTAGTGATTTATGGGAAAAAAAAAAAAGAACTACACAGATTTCTTAACACCATTTGAATTCCACAATGGTTTTGGCCATTTCAACACTAACACTGGCCCAGCTGTCAGATAACGGAGACTGTATGAGCCGATTATCGATCTTTGTGTATCTTAACTGTGAATAGGCCCTTGATGATGGCTGATTGAACTGATGGCCTGAAAGGAGAGAGCTACATCGTATTGAAGCAAAGCACCAGACAATTTGTGCATTTTTGTGCTTAGGTGTTATGATGCTGGCCAAATCAACACTTTCACTCAAATGTCTACAGTGAATTAAGCCTTGATTTTCAAGCCTGTGGTAATGGCAGTAGGACTAGAGAGCATGATTTCAAGCCAATTGCCATTTGCCAAGTACCAACTCAGATACCTGTACATGAATTGCCTTCAGCATGTGAGTTCAGCGGTCTGGATATACCTGAAGGTTTGCTTTGGAAACCCTGTATGAAAGTAATAAAGATGCCCTCACTTGGGGCAGGGTCTTTTGTGTTGGTTTTGGATGACATAAGAAGCCATGTTATTATCGAGATTCATGCATGGCTAGCTGTGCACTGGTGGCTCATACCTGTAACTCTTGCTCTTCAGGAGGGAGAATCATGGTCCCAGGACGGGTAGGGCAAAAAGGCTTTGAGACTCCATTTCAGCCAGTAGCTGGATGTGTGCTAGTCAAAGCGAAGATGGGGAGGATTGCTGTTCCAGTCCTGTCTGAGCAACGAAGCTCAGGAAGACCCCAGTCAACAGAAAAAGATGGTCATGATGGCATATGCCCGCCACCCCAGAGACGGCAAGCGTGAGACCCTGCCTCAGAAATAGTCATAGTGCCGGGCGCCAGTGGCTCACACCTGTCATCCCCGCTACTCAGGAGGCTGAGATCTAAGGACTGCGGTTCAAAGCCAGCCTGGGAGTGGCGCCGTGGCTCCAGTGGTAGAGCGCTGGCCTTGAGCTGAAGAGCTGAGGGACAGCGCCCAGGCCCAGAGTTCAGGCCCCACAACTGACCAAGAAAAAAAAAGTCATAGAAAGCCAGGCACTGGTGTCTCACACTGATCACCCTAGCTGCTGGGGAGGAGCTCTGTGGATGGCAGTTCAAAGCTAGCCCCGGCAGGAAAGTCCATGAGACTCTCATCTCCAGTTTACCACCAAAAAGCCAGAAGTGGAGCTGTGTGGCCCAGACAGGAGAGAGCTCGTCTTAAACAGAAAAGCTCAGGGATAGTGCCCAGACCCTGAGCTCAAGCCTCAGGCAAATCAGGCAATCAGTTATTCACAGTAAGAAGGGTGGGAAGCGCACTCAGGGGCCTGCCGGGCAGATGAGAGCCCTGGCTGGAACCCCGCAGCACACTCAGGACGAGAAGTTGTGTAAGCTGTCTGATAGCCTTACTTCTTTGCTGTCTTGGGACTGGACAAGGGCCTCATGCTTGCGAGGCAGGTGCTCTACCACTGGAGCCATACCTCTAGTCCCTTTTTTGCTGGTGATTTTCAAGGTAGGTGCCCTTGCCCATCTAGGCTGCAGTTTTCCTACTTGTGTCCCCCATGTCACAAGGGGTGGTGGGTGTATGACACCACACTCAACCACCGGCTGAGATGGAGTCTCTGAACCTCTCTTCTCTGGATATCTCCTAATCTTCCCCCCAGAAGGAGCGAGGGGTAAAGGCTTGAGCCACCGTACTCTGGGTCTGATAGCCTTACTTATCTTTCCAGATGTTTTCCATTACCTGTTAGGGCAATTGATGGGTAGGAAAAGGTCATCTTTATGAATATGCAATGCAGCTGGGCGCCGGTGCTCACGCCTGTCATCCCAGCTACTCAGGAGGCGGTGGTCTAAGGATCGCAGTTCAAAGCCAGCCTGGGCAGGAACGTCTATGAGACTTTATCTCCAGTTTACCACCAGAAAACCAGAAGTGGTGCTGTGGCTCCAGTGGTAGAGCGCTGGCCTTGAGCTGGAGAGCTGAGGGACAGCGCCCAGGCCAGAGTTCAAGCCCCACGACTGGGAAAAAAACAACAACTGGAAGTGGCACTGTGGTTCCAGTGGTAGAGCGCTGGCCTTGAGCTGAAGAGCTGAGGGACAGCGCCCAGGCCCAGAGTCCAGCCCCACGACCGACCACAACAAAAATGCATAGCCACCGTCACACCACGTTCTAGAAGTGGCCCCACCCCCATCTTCTGTTCTGGGCCTGAGGATGTGGCTCGGTGGTGGGGCATTTCCCTGATGCATGGTCCTAGGTTTGACCCCCAGCACCTCAGAAAACAAAAAGCAAAGGAAAGAAAACAATGAAAGAGGAAAGGAGGGAAGGGTGGACAGAGAGCATGAAAGGAAGGAGGGGAGGGAGGAAAGAAAGAAAAAAGAGAGAGGAACAAGTGTTTGCCTTTCGCACAGCCCGCTGGTGTCTGGCTGCTGCCGGCTCTTCCCCGCGGCCCGAGCGCCCATGACACGCCCCGCTGGGGTCCTGCTGACGCCGGGACCACCCTTTGGGTTCCCATGCAGTCATGAGGCGGCTCGGTTTTGTCAAGCTCGGCCAGCGACAGAACCCTGCGGTTTGGAGGCCTGTGCTGGCTCAGGCGTGGCCTGCGGGGTGGCCACTGTCTGGGATTGCAGGAGGAGCACACATCTCCCAGCTCGGTTCTGGGGGTCAGGAAGCCGCCTAGAAAGCGGCCCTCCCGTGCCGACGCCGGCTCGTCCGCCGCGTGGTGGACGCTTTGGTGCCACCTGAATGAGCTCTCCTTCCGCCCGTCCTTCCTTGGTCCCTCGAGGCCGCGGGCGCCTCTGCGGTGGGGCTCCCCATCAGCCGCGTGCCCGGGACAGCAGCGGTGGGTCTGGGGCGCGTTCTGGTCTTATTCACTGCAATGTCTTGGAGTCATTTTGTGTCCAACTTGTCCTTGGTATTTTTCGTTACTGCTTTTCTTTTTAAATCATGTGCTTGCTCTTTTAGTGTACTGTGTCCATCCTGCTTTTTCCTGTGTGTATACACGTGTGTGTGTGTGTGTGTGTGTGTGTGTGTATACGTGTGTAAACATGCAAGCACTTCTGCCTGGGGCGGGTCCCTGGCCAGTGCGTGTGCATGTGCTGTGGACCACACTCTGGGAATGGAGGCCGCAGAGAGGGGCGGCTGGCCGCGGTGCTCTCATGATGGTGGGTGACTCTCCAGAGCTCCACGGAGTGGAGGAGAGGACCCCGCCACCGCCCAGCCACCAGGAGGGGACACGACTTCCTGCTGGTGGCTGTCTTCAGTGAGCCCAGAGGCTGCCGCGGGGTGGGGGCTGGGGGGCACTTCCCACTCCTGAGGCCTTTGACCTGCAGTCCACCTCTCCTGTAACTGTCCCGCGCACGCGCGCCGCAATGCAGCACCTTACCATGCTTCTAACTCTTTCCTACAGGGCTTCACAAACTTCACCTGTCCAATGCCTCTCGGGATTCGGAATCCACAAAGCCTTCCGCAAATGGGCATCAGAAAGCGCTTTGAGGCCACACGGGACGCCGCGGCTCATGCACAGAGCCCAGCCTACTACATCCGCCAAGAACTGCTGCTGACCTTATTTTTTAAGTTTAACTTTTGGACAGACCTCACCCGAGATTCTCAGAAGCCGGGCCCCAGTGGCTCACGCCTGTAATCCTAGCTACTCAGGAGGCTGAGATGTGAGGATTGCGGTTCAAAGCCAGCCCGGGCAGAAAAGTCTGTGAGACTCTTATCTTCAATGAACCACCAGAAAACTGGAAGTGGCACTGTGGCTGCAGTGGCAGAGCGCTCGCCTTGAGCTGAAGAGCTGAGGGACAGCGCCCAGGCCCAGAGGTCAGGCCCCACGACCGACCCCCAAAAAGGATTCTTCTAGACTATGAAAAGCACACTGTAGACGCGCCGTGGGACGTTGGGAAGCGCGTGGACACTCCTCAAAGCTCTGCTCTGCAGGGGATGCACGCCGGGCAGCGCCTCAGAAAGCAGTGTCCTCGTTCTCTAGAAACTGCGCACACGGGCCGTTCCTGCCGTGAAGCTGAACAAATAGAAAGTATAGTTTTTACTTCCTTAGAGAAACAACAGCAGAGTTGCTGGTTTATGGTTCCGAATATCCAGTGGACTTTGAGACACGGGAAAAATCCTAATCCTTTGAACCGTGAGCGTGGGGCAGACGCGGCCTGGGGGCCGGGCGGAGCCAGGGTGGCAGAGGCCTGACCCAACTTACCTCTCCCAGCGCAGCTGCCCTGCCGTGCCCTGGCAACGGAGACGTTGCCTTAGAGGCTGCAGGGACACTCGCTTTTCAAAGATGACTGAACCCCGTGCTCTGTCACGCCCCACAATGGAAAGCGGGTGTGCTAGAAGCTCCGCCTTCCCTCGCTGCCTTGGGCTTCGGCTCCTTCTCTGTTTGGCAGTTTAAGCACCAGATTTCCAGGTAGCACCAGAGGCCGGGAGGCCAGCATGCTCTTGTTGGCGTGGGCTGCTGGTGTGAGGTGGGCTGGGTAGTGGGTGGTGTCTCCGTCCTGAGGCTCCGGGTTCCCGCACTGCCTCCGGGAGACCGTGTGGACACAAGGCCGGCACCCAGCACCGGCCTGGTGTCTGGTGCGTCTTGGTGCGCGAGGCGTGGCAGTGCTAATCTGTGTTAGACAGGAGCGGAGCAATGACCTTGTGGACGGTAAAGCTCTTTATTTCGGGGGGCGGGGGGGGGGGGGAGGGACTTAGGAAAATAGCCCGTTACCTGTGTGACAAAAAAATTCTACTTAGAACAAAATAAGCTTCCGAGCCCCGAGCATCTCTCCTTATCTCTTTCTTTACACCTTTGCATCTCCCTCCGGGCTTCTCTTGAAAATGCAGCTCATTTTCAATGAACATTCGTGTTTGATTCTAAGCAACACCAGGCGCCCACCCCGGCAGATGTTGGGTTTCTTAGGCTGCGATCTCCCTAGAAATCCCTAGCGAACGTGCCGCCGTGGTGCCGCCCACTCGCGGGGAGCCTGGCGCGGGGCGGCCGCCTTGAGCCCACGCCACTGGCAGCATCATCCCAAGAAACAGCCCCGAATATTTGTACCTTGTCTGGAAATTTTTAGTAAAATATTAAACTTTTCAACATCCGTTTCAACTTGCCGTTCACGCGACCGTCCTTCCCACGCACGGACATAGGCCGGGGCTGGGCCGTGCTTCAGCGTGCCGACACTCGCTGGGTGCTGCGGGGTCGGGCTGTGGTCTCCCGGGGCGGGGGGGGGGGGGGTGCAGGCTCGGCTGGACTGAGGGGGCACCGAGGACCCGCGACTCAGCTCCCTCAGCTCTGCCCTCGGGCCGCCGCTCTGCAGTTGTGGAGTTGATTGAAGGGACTCAGCCACTGCGATCAGTGATTGATTGGCTCTCCAGCATTTAATTAGTTTACAATAACAGGTTTTGTAGATTTATAACATTGGTATTGATTTTGATGGATTTTCTAGGGTAGTTCTTAGATTTACTATTTATGTATATTCCATATATAAAAATCTGCTCTCAATAGGAGACGGTGGCGTTGTGCTTGCTGGCGCTGCTGGCCCGTGGACTCTGGGGGGCCAGACGGGCGTGGAGCGCTGAAGTGTGCACGGATCCGCTCGCAGGTGCACCTGTGCCCAGCCTGGCAGCGGCTGCCTGAGCTCCCCCTGCCGGGCACTGGCTGGTGATCCCACAGCCTCAGTAAGGGCATGAGCCGGTGGGTGCCAGGCCGCCTCTCCTAGTTACCAGTGCTCGTCCCTTAACTGGTGGCTAGCACAGCATTTAAGACGGGCAGATTTATCACAAGATTTTAAAAAGTATGGTCATAAATGCAATGCTGACTTAAAACTGGTATATTACTTTTAAAAACGTTTAGACATGGATACATTTTTGTTTACACATTGTCATGTTTACAAATTGTTAGTCTCGTTAGTACAAAATATTTTTAGTCTGACTTAAATGTCTTAGAAATTAAAGTTTTGCAAAAAGTAATTTTATATTTCATTTACAATCACATCTTTATAAATGTGTATGTTTGTTCTTAAGTACCATCATAGCTAAAACCAAAGGGTATTTAAAGATGGTAATGGGCAGTAATTATTCTGTGAAGCACTGAATATTTCTCTTGATTTATTGGTGGGTAGGTTTCTTCACAATGTAAGCGCAGCATCAGTAATTGAAAGCATATATTTCATATTACTTCGTCAAGCTGTTTAGATTATTCTCACATCTCTCATTCCAGAAGAGCTGAGTAGCTCCACCCAGAGTTCTGCAGAGTGAGTCTGTCAGCGTCTGGCTTGGTCGCTGACAAGAGTGGCCAGTGGGCCACACTGGCTTCACACATTTGTCCACAGTCAGGAATGCAGCTGTTAGCAGTTCAGCCCACACACATGCGAAAATACAGTTAAGCTAAAACTTTAACATGTAATAGCTGTTTTAAAATACTCCATTATTTTAAAGTACTAGACACAAATGACCAAGTTATTTACTGAGTTACAAATGGACACAAACTTCAGTTTGAGACTCATAACCTTGGAATCTTGTTTGTATAAAATCTTTCTTTTTTGGTTTTGAACATTGTTCAGGTAGAATTCATTGCTACAGGTACCATTGAAGGAAAAGTAGTGTGTGTGTGTGTGTGTGTGCGTGCGCGCGTGCGTGCGTGTGCGTGCACATGCACGCATGTGTCTGTCTAAATGTTACTCTGCAAGAAACGTCATAAAAATTGGTAGAAATCCAGCTTCTGAGGCTTCTGAGCCAGGTCTTGCAGATGAATCCCGTCGTGTGCACAGGCCTTTCTCTTTTTCCTTTTTTCTCCACACGCAGTCGTCTGCACGGGGTTTTTTCTTGGCAAGCCCATTGATGCCTTCAGTGATCCCGGCACGATCGCCTCTGCCATCTCCTCTCCCAGGTCCAGTCAGCCGCAAGTTGCCTTGTTCCATGTCACACATGTTCAGAACAGTTCTGTCTTCCTGCCCTTCCTCTCTCTGTTTGTCTGTTCCCCTCCCACTAATGCATATATCCCAGAAATGTTTCAACTCAGTATTTTTTGTTAAAGTACATGTTAATTGTTTAAAAATAATTCAGCATACACGCAGGCAGATATCATACTTTGGTCAGATTGATTACACATACACACAGGATCCTGTATGTGCTTACGTGTATTTATAATTCATGTCTACAGTCACATAGGAAAGAAAACACACACCTTTGTCTTGCTGAGCCAGCTTTCAGTTAATAGGATGGTTTCCATTTTCCTGCAGAAAACATCCTTCCTCCTGGCTGGGCAGTATTTCACTGTGCGCGGATGCACTCATCAGTCGGAGGGCATCTGAGTGATGTCCGTAGCTTGTCTACTGTGAATGACTCTGCAGGGAGCATGAGCGAGCATGTGCCTCTCTTGTGCCCTGACCTGTATTCCCTCAGATAATGCCCATGAGTGCTGTTGCTGGAGGAACTTCCATTCTGATTTCCGCGGTGGTCACACCGCCTGCCAGGTTCCTTGTCCCGTGTCCTTACCGACATGCGCTACTTGTGTTCTTGATGATGGCGGTTCGGAGGGGAATCCCATACTTGATTTGCATTTCCATTATGTCCATGGATTGTGAGCATTTCTTCATATATTTGTTGGCCATTTGTATTCTTTCTTTCACGTTGTGTTTGTCCATTTTTGAATAGGGTTATTTTTGTTTAAGGGCTAGTTGTTCTGAACTCCTTGTATACTCCGGTACTGAGATTCACGTCAGACCATTAGCTGGCAAAGATCTCCCGTTCTTAGGCTGTCTTTTCAGCCTGCCACAGTTCCTTTCACTACAGCCTTTTAGCTTGGTACAATCCTATTTGTCAGTTCTTCCTCCCACTCCCCTTCCACCCCCAATTGGGGCCTGGACACTGTTCCTGAGCTCTTTTGTTCAAGGCTAGCACTCTACCACTTTGAGCCACAGTGCCACTTCTGGTTTTCTGGTGGCTAATTGGAGATAAGAGCTGTGATCCTCAGATCTCAGCCTCCTGGGTAGCTAGGATTACAGGTGTGAGCCACTAGTGCCAGGCCCCCATTTGTCAATTCTTGCTCCTATTTGCTGAACTACTGGAGTTACTGCCTATGACAGTAAGTTCTAGTGTTTTCCCTATGTATTCTTGTAGTTTCAGAGGTTCAGGTTTTTCTTACATTAAGATCCTTGACTCACATTAAGTTGGTATTACTACCGGGATAGAGGAGGGGGTGAGATTTAGTCTACTGTGTGTGGATACGCAATATTTCCAGTACCATTTGTCAAAGAGGCTCTCTTCAACAAATTTTGGGATCCTTTGAAAAAAATCAGATGGCTATAAGTATACAGATCGGTTTCTGGTAGTCTTGTCTGTTCCATTGGTTTTCAGGTCTGTTTCTGTGCCAGTATAATGCTGGTTTTTCTAAAACTAGAGTTCTGTTGTATAAATTAAAGGTCGAGTATATTGATAGCTCCAGTGTTGCTTTATTGGCTCAGGACTGATTTGGCCATTTTGCGCGTCTATATGAATTTAGAACCGACTTTTCTCTCTCTGTGAATAGTGACATTGGGGTTTTGGTGAGCTGCATGAACTTACAGGTAACATTCTGTGTAGTACTCTTTTCGTGAATTCTTGCATTAGTTCTGCCAGTCCATGAGCGTGAGTGTGCTTCCACCGTCTGGTGTCTTTTTCAACTTCTTCAAGATTATATAATTTACTT